AAGTGTTCTTTTTGTTCATATCAAAATTGGTGTAGTTTCCAAAACTGCAACAAAAATACTTTTTTTCGCAGGACACAAGTCACATGATCAACAACCGGGTGTTGCCATTGACGCAAACCGCCAAGAAGACGACGGAAAGTAGTTGGAGGACGACGGCGCAAGATGTTTTGTAATAACTTATCTTGTGAACAAAGGTGTGAGATTTTAATTGCGTTACTTATTTAATGGAAACACTGCAATTCCAAAGTTGTATTTCGACATTAGTGGAATATTGACTAAGTTTTTGTGCAAATCGTAATGAAAAGAAGGCTAACAGGCCAAGAAGGAGAGCGAGAAAAAACCCTTGTTGGTTTATAATTGTGAATATATTCTGTTCATTCACAGAAAGACTCCATCTTCTGCTGCAAACAGTAGATCATTTTCTCCATCTTCCCTCTGAAGCTCACGAGTCAGTTCTTCATTTTACATCCATTTATTGTCTTCCATCTCTCCAAGGCTGAGCCATCTTTTCTTTTCCAGGATCCCAAGAGGTCCCTGGATGAAATGGTTTAAATAATCCCTCCAAAGGGTTCTGGGTCTCTTTAGTGTTTCTTCCAATTTGGAATAACCTTCAAAGACAGCTGAGCCAGAACAGCCGCCTGCAGAGGAAGCTCTGTTCAGAGGAGAATAGTAGTTAAACTTACCTGAACTCGGTGGTGTAGATCAATCCACTGGGTGCTTCTGCAGGTGGATCCCAGCTCAGGACCAGGTTCAGGTCCCTGGAGGTCAACTGGACATTGGTGGGACTGCTGAGGACTCCTGATACAACTACACAGACCCGAGAAGCAAAGTTAAGAATGGCATCAGTCTCCTGCTCACATCTGATCATTTACCACTTTCTATTGTGCTTCTTTGAACAGGTTAGGACTCTTCTATGAGAAACAAAACATCTTCATTATATTTTATGCATTAAATCATTGTTAGATAATGAGATCTTAGTCTGCTCAATTCTGCCTATTTGAGCTGTTTTAAAGTGTCTTGTCACTTTAAATCCAAATAACTCAACGTTTACACTCACACATGAAAACGGCTGCAATCAGATGTGCTATTATGAAACAACACATCTTTGAAAAGCAGAAGTGCAGCCTACTGCACAACCAACAAGAATGCTGCAGCAAGTGTTTTCTGGATGGTAAGTGAACAAGAAGACACTTGATGTTGCCAAAGGTGGAACAACCAATATTGGGTTTAAGGCTTGGGCCTAAGTTGGTTGGTTGACATTTTCTTTTTCTTTTAACGTGATGAATTTTAAAACCAGAGCTTTCTATTTACTCTGGATCTTTGTCTGACATTTTACATGTTACAGAAAAATTTAAATAAATGAAAAAATAAATAGATGGAATATTTCTTTGAAAACTTCACGCCCTGGAAAAAAAAAGAGAGAAAGAATGTGGCAACAATTTAAAATGTAATTTAAATTACTAGAACCTTTTTAATAGATTACATCAATAGTGTCACATTAGGCATTTTAGCCCCTTTTTAATGAATAAATCCCTAAAAGTAGCTTACAGCATGAACTATATTTTTCTGTAATCAATCACTAAATCAGTGGTGTCCAAACCTTTTGTCACGAGGGTCAAATTAGCCGAATCAAATGTATTCACAGGCCAGAAATATAAATATATAAAAAATCAACAAAAGTTATATTACAAATTATTATCTACCTGCTCAGTAATAAGCTAAGCATGTAATATTTTATCAAAGAATTTATTTATTTAATATGGACAACAAGATGCATTGTTTTCACACGTCACAGCAAACATATAGCATATTAAATATATTTAATTATGTGAATAGTAGAAAAAAGATGTGCAAGTCATTATAGAACTAAAACTAAGAAAGGCAATTTGCCAATTCTTACAGGTCCAGCTAAACACGTTGGTCACTCTTTCTTTTAAAATACTTGCTTTATTCAGTCAAATTGTATAATTTAATTAAAATAAGATTAGGGTGCACTAAAGTCATCTTTTTTAGTCAAAGTTACTGGGTACATATTATTCTGTTTACCTTACAAGCTTAGTTATAAAAACATCATGAATACTTTGTGATGTACCTAATATTTTCCATAGGAAAAAGCAGAATTGTTGGTTATAATTTTGCCCAAATAAGAAATGAAACTGAGCCATCTGCATCGTGTTGAGGAAGCAAATTTACATTATTCTTGAACTGAAGTTAGTGGCCACACAAAATCCGTCCAGGATCCACATATGGCCCCCGGGTCACACTTTGGACATCGATACATGGTATTAGTGTGATTTTTGTGACATGGATGTAATTTTTCACAGTTTCTTTTATAAATAAACAAATCTGTTGACTTAGCAGCCAGAAGAGACTGAAGTAGAAAAATGTACAAATAACTTTTCTGGGAGTTCGGTCCAAACGTGTTATGTCCATTTGGACAAAAACCTGAATTAAACTACAATATCTCAGTACACCCTATAAACTATCACGAATAAACCGATTAAAACACAAAAATGTTCATGCAAGTTTATCAGAACAATAGAAGTCCTCCATTATCCCTCTATATTTACGGTAATACGTTCACTGACCCACAAAAACAACGGAACTTTACCTCCGTTTAGTGTTGAAAGTGTCAGGACGAAAACATAAACAGCGACTGACATGTTGATCCGAAGGTTCGGTTCGGTCCGGTTCGGCCCCCGTCTCGTCCCGACTTCAGTACAGCGTCCCAGGGTTGGTCATTTCAAAGTCGCCGTTTCATTCAGTTCCCGTTTGCATCCATCAACAACAGGCGGGGGAAATACGCGGAAGCAAATGTATAATAATTTCAGGGTGGACACGTCACGTTTCACGTCAAGTCAGTCACTTTTCATTTCACTTCAGGGAAACACGACGTTACGGCAGCTCGCAGCTCGGATTCCTTTCTGCTGCGCGCTTATACGGAGCCTTACGGTAACCTTTCGAAATAAATGCTTCCAAGTAGAATATCGTGGAAAAGTTACCGTAATTTATTTCTGGTCAAACACAGACATTTATAAAGAACAGTCAAAAATTAACAGCAATAATTTGGATTATTTAGCCTTTCAAAAAATTAAAAAGTGGGTTTGTTTCTAAAATAATTTATTTATGAATTTATTAATGCCAGGTTAAAAAAAATATTTAGTGTTCAAGTTAAATATTTATTTACTGTGAAATTAAATATTTAGTTTGCTAAAAAAAATCGTTTGTAGCTAAATACTTAGCTTCAATTTAAATATGAAGTAGCATACTGAATATTTACTTTCAAACTAAATATTTAACCTTCTAAATAGAAATTTAGCTTTGAATTAAATATATTCTTAGAAAGCTAAGTCTTTATTTTGAAGCTCAATATTTATTTACTTATCAAGCTAAATACTTAGCTTCAATATTTAGTTAAGATAAATATTTAGTCTAAAGCTAAATATTTAGCTATAAGGTAAACCTCCTTCAGTTTATTAGTAAGAACATAGATATTTATGTTCTTATAACAATTGGGTTCTGTATGTAACATGTATTAATATATTATTACAACATCATAAAGTATCCTCAATTTTTGGCAGTAAATTATGATTTTAAAAACAAATGTTTGAAACAAAGACTAGGAAAATTCACAATTTATTGCATTTTTATTGCATTTACAATCAAATAAAAGGCTCGGAAATCTGTTCCTGCACAGACATCAAGAAGAATTGCCATAAGGAACAAATAAATTATATTTCTGAATGAAAAAACACAGTTTGGATCTTCTTACATCACAGTTTCATCAGAATCTGCTCAGATTTTTCACCAGAGTATAAATATAATTGAATTGTTGATTCAAATTATTAATTTCTTTCCTCAGCAGCCATTTCCTGTTAATAAGCTCCAGAAGCAGTTTGTATCTGTGCAGATTCTTTGAGAGGTGTGCGTCATTTGTTTCAGAAATCCAAAACACAGGTTTAAAAAAGTACAGGTACCTTTTCCAAAACCATAAATCATTCAGTTTTTTCCAACAAAATAATAAGATATAGATTTTTACACATTAAACACACATTCTGTTATTGAAGAGTCAAAACACACTGGCAGAAATTTCTTCAAGAAGAAGGAAAAAAACATATTTTAACCAAAGAAAATTAAAATAAACCTCAGTGAAAAAAGATAAATTAGACCCTTTGTGCTCATTAACAGTGATTATTTTACACTAACTGTATAAAAAATGTCCTATGGCAGGTGAGGAGGTTAGATCCTGAGTACAACTCGGTCATAAAAGTAAATATTAAAAAAAACAAAGTTCCCTAGAGGAACTCAAAGTAACTGAACTCCTGTTTCCTCAGGATGCCTTAGGTCGTAACGCCGTCCCCCTCTGACAGAGAAGACTTCAGGCAGGTATAGGACTGCGATCTGAACTTCATGCAGGGCAGATGCTGATTTTTAACCTAAAGAACAACAAAAACAAACAAACAAACAAAAAAGATCACATTTAAGGATGTTTGTGTTGCTGATTTAAAGAAATTTAACCACAACATTCATCATTAAACTCAAAAAGATCAGATTAAAAGTCATATTTTTCCCAACTGGTGCAAAAAAGGCAAAAAATAATGTTTAACGGCACTTCTAAACTTGCTAAACTTAAAAAAAAAAACCTCTACGGTCAAAAATAATCCAGCACTTTACTATATCAGAAAGCAGTCAAATTAAAACTGTCACTTTGTTTCCAAAATAAACAAAGATAAAATAAAATTAAATATAATGTAGGTTATCTGATTAAAGTTAGTCAGTAGCTTGTTGGCTTGGAAAGATATTTTCCCTTTATAAATAGAATAACCATTCAAAAACAACTTTTTATATGTACGTTTTATATTTATTCAGGTAAAATTAACATACATTTATAACCTTTAAGATATGCAACAAACTGAATCAAGGGAAACCAAATGAAATTTAGATTCCATCAACTTCTATGCTAAATGTTGTGTTCTGTATTTCTGAGCATTAAATTACTGAACTAAAACAAAAATAAAGCGATCTAACATCCTAATCAGCCGACCAGACACTGATCCTCTGACTTCCTCCTGAGTTATTCTTACTTTAAAGTTACCAGACCGGCCATTTTGATTCCCAACAGGGTGTTCTTTGTGTGAACTGACCTGTTCAGGTGTCGTCTCAGTAATTCCAAGCTCACCTTGCTGCTGAAGATGAACCGGCCCACGACGATGACCACCAAAAGAGTAAACGCCCCCAACAGGCCGAGGACCAGGAACACTGAGGAACAGTAGGACGAGACAAGTCAGAACGCCAAAATATTCACACCAAAACAGCCAAATTAATCAGACGTTTTACACTCAGACGCAGGAATAACGTTATCTGAAGAGGCGTACATGAGTGCTGGGGTGGGGGAGGACTGGTGAAGGCGCAGCGGCGTGCGCTGGGGACGCTGTTCCGGTTTATGAGGGACTTGAAGGAGACGGAGACGCAGTACTCCACACCTGGCTGCAGGTACGAGATCACGGTCTCCTGCTGATAGGGCTGCTCCAATCTGAACTGAAACACAGAACAGAAACCACAAAATGTCACCAAAGAGAGGATGAAGATGGTCATTTGGAAGACGGGTTGGAAAAGAAAATTAAGCTATGATACAGAACGTGAAGGAGGAGTGAAATAGGATCAAAAGCTGCATTAGTTGTGCAATTTGACATTTTGAAAATACATTTGCTTAATGGAAACACAATAATTAAGAAAAACTGATTTTTCAATAGGGGGTTTTGGTGCTCTGGTAGCTTTATTGAAATTGGTTTATTTCATATTATTGAAATGGAAACAATTTATTTGCATCACAAAAGCCATGTGACCAACAACCAGATGTTGCCACTAACGCAAACTACGAAAAAGAAGACGGCAGGAAACTGTCGGAGGATGATGATTTTAATGACTTATTTATGTGTGATTTTAATTTTGTTTCTTATTTAACAAAAGCATCACAACTGCGAAATTGTGGTTATTGCGAATATTAAATCTGTTTCCGTTCACCATATAATTGTGCAATTTGACATTTCAAAAATAAATTTGCTTAATGGAAACGCACCAATATTGAAAGAAGAAAAACACTTGTTTTTCAATAAAAAGTTTTGGCACTAAGATGGAGGTTTATAAAAAAAAAAAATTCACAAAAATACAAGGAAAACACTTTTTTTGCATCACATGATCAACAACAGGATGTTACTACTGGCAGAAACAATGAAAACAAGAACAGGAAGTAGTTGGAGGATGATGGCGCAGCATGATTTTAACAACTTATTGCATGAACAAACTTATCCATGTGTGATTTTAAGTGAGTTTCTTATGTAATGGAAACATCACAATTGCAAAATTTTGTTGTTTTTTACCTTATAAGAATATTAAATATGTGTCCATCAACAGTGTAATTGCACAATTTAACATTTCAAAAACAGTTTAAGGGAAATGTGCCAATTTAAAAAAAAAACTTACATTTTTCGATAAAAATGTTTGGTGCTGGGATGACGAGGTATCTTGGACATATTGAAATTGGTTTCTGTCACAAAATTGTAATGGAAACTTTTTTCTCATCACACGAATCACATAAACAACAACCGAATGTTACTATTGGAGGAATACTTTGCTCTAAGCAGAACACAATTTTGGTAAAATTGCAAAATAATCCTAAAATTTAAACTGTAAAAACTATAAAAAGTATCAAAATGCCAATTCAGTTTGGTAAAATGCAACTTTCTGCAAGTGATTCTCTCCTTCCTTTCTCTAAAATCACATTTTGTCACATTACTTTTGTATAATTTTGTCAAAAATGATGAATGCATTATGCGCATTCCTTAATAAAATGAAAAGCTGTCTTCAAACATTCCCAGCAAGTCTCCAAAATATGGTGCTATCCCCAAAATTAATTAATCGTCTTTTAAAACCATCTCTTTCCAGTAATTTCTGTGAAATGGTGGAGCGCATCACTTCCTGCTGCACAGGAAATGTCAAGCATAACCAGGAGTCAACCGCTGAGGTGTGCAGACTGAAACTGGAAGTTCAGTTTCAGTTTATTCAGTAAAGAAACTGCAGTTTGGTTTGAGAGCACAGTTTGATCAGCTCAGAAATATTTAAATAAAATCATCAACATGCCTGTTTTAAATGGTTTTTTTGTTTGAGTTTTTTAAGCAGGTGAAATCGTCAAACTTTGAGCTCTGCTAAATAAAAAAACAACATGTCATCAGCAGGTTTTAAGATGAGTTGAAAAACATCACATGATAAAGAGAAAAAACAACCACAGGGGAAACGACAGAATGATGACGTGAAGGCTGTAAAATACCCTGAGGGGACGAAAACAACCACAAACCAAACGCAGCTCATCACAAAACAGGCCGGAGAACCACAAAGACGCAGAAATTAATGGCTCTGGGTCAGTTTGTCCTTTAAAGTATTCACACCCACCCTTTGCCATTTCATCCCAACCTGCTCTGAAACCACAAACAAAGTTTTTTTTTCCACCAGTTTAACCACTGAGTTCAGTATATTCCCCTTTTAAAATGCTGAATTTTATGTGTGTTTTAACTACATATTAGCTTTACATTGTGCCTGGTCACCACTGGCTGGGGCTTGATTGGGGCCGTTGATGAGAAATTTGACAAGATCAGACTCCTGACGGTAGTCACAACTAGTACATAGCAAAAATATTCACACCAATGGAGAATTTTCACATTTTGTATCATTTCAATCCCAACTTACAAAGTTTTCAACTGGGTTAAATGTTAGCTACATGAAGTAGCTACGCTTTGCCACTTTGAGCCCATCAGCTTTCCTTCCGTATCCATAAACAAACTATTTCCTACCATGGCATTCAGTTTATTTCTTTATTAAAATAGGTTAAAAATGCAAAATTTC